CTCAAGCTTTTCAATTTTATGCAAAAATTCTTCTTCAACATTTTCTCCCATTTGTGTATTCTCCCTTCTTAAGTTTTTAACTAAATCCTCATTAAGAAAATTCTCACAAAACATATTGACATACTTTTCTTTGTACTCAAACAAACTTTCCTCTAATTTAGAAATCTTCTCTTTCAATTCTCTGTTCTCCTTCTCAAGATAAACTGTCATTTCAAAAATCAACGACTGATCAAAGAATCTTATGCAATGAGTGAAATCAGTCAAAGAAATCACAAAACAACAAAATCTTTCAGATACAATCCGTAAGCTCAAAAAATATCAGAAAAGCTCAAAAAGTGTTGAGAAATCAGAAAATCAGCGAAAAAGGTTAAAAATCAGTAAAAACAGTCAAAAACTGTTGAAAACTGTTAAAAACAGTTAAAAACAGTAAAAACGGTTAAAACTGATAAAAACAGTTTACGCGACACAAATTAGTTCAAAAATCTCAAAAAACAGTTCAAAAACAGTTAAATCCTCAAAAATCAGTAATTGGTGAAAAAAAACTTTTAAAACGGTTCAAAGGAGGCTCAAATCCGGACACTGGGATGGGCAAATTAGGATACGAGAGAATGAATCACGACCAAGAGACCAATGAAGCAAGCTCAGATAAGATTGGTTAAAGCAGTGTCCAAGAATGGTCTAAACCTGACAGGACAATGTCCGAGGTCTACCTAAACCGGGTGGCCTATATGCGATTAAGGTTAAGGTGAGGCTGTTTTTGGGTTAAGCTGCGAGCTACCAAGGAAGTAAATCCGGACAAGACTATTTTAGCCGTTTAAGATCAAATACGGACACAGCCTTGTCCGAGGAAGGGCTTGCTACCAAGACAGTGCAAGATCCGGCTATAATGTGACCGAGTTTTACTAAATCGCACAAGCCTATGTGCCATATACTACAAATACCATTAGACTATTATGCTATTTAAATTGAACAAGACAAAAGGGCGAGAGAGGTTTCTTAAAACGGACAAGCCAAGTACGGACAAAAGGTCAAGAGAGTTGCCTTGAATACGAGCAAGCTAGTGTGCGAGAATGCTTGATTTTGGCTAAGTCTGTCCGAGTAGCATTCAAATTCGGACACAAAGTTGTTCAGGGTAGCTCAAATCCGGCTGTACCTTTTCAGCAGGGATGACCAAATCTATGTGCAAGGATAAGCGATTTAGTCCAACTCGGAAGCCTTGAGAGTGAATCCGGATAGAATGATGATCAATTAACACAAATACGAACAGAAACTTATAGGTTATACCTATGACCATATACAACCAAAATCGGACAAACAGGTATGCAAATTATCATGCTCAAAATTTTCTGTGTGAAATCGGGTTGACTTGTGCGATTAAAGCCAAGAACAGATGAAACAACAAGCGATTAGATACAAATCGAACACCTTGTTATGCGATTTAGGTTGAAATCAGTCAGGGTGACGTGTGATTTTGATGAAACCGAACAATGGTAGACAGCGATTTAGAGGAAATCAAACAGGGTATGCGATTAAAGTGAAATTGGACAGGGAGGTCTTCGATTTAGGTCAAATACGGTTAGGTTGTTATACGATATACTCCAAATCCTATTGAATCTTTGATCGGTTTAGTCAAGTATTGGATATCACAACCTGCGATTTAGAGAAAAACGAACAAGGAAGTCAACGATTTAAAGAAAATCGAACAAGGAAGTCTGCAATTAAGGTGAAATCGAACAAAGAAGTCTGTGATTAAGATGAAATCGAACAGGGGGTTCTTCGATTTAGGTCAAGAATGGTGAAGAAGATGAGCGATTTAAGCCATCCGAGAAACCTTTGAGCGAGCTATAGCCTAATATGGATGGACATTTGTGCGGCTATTGTCCGATCTAGGTAGAAACCGGATGAAGAGGTCTGCGATTTAGACTGTGAACTTGAAGACTTTGAATACGGACAAACCAGACAGTTAAGCAGACAAGATGGTGTCCGAGTTTTGTTAAATCTGGACAATATGATATTCGATTTAGATGAACAAGGTTACCAAGTCCGGACAGAAGGTTGTCCGTATTATCAAGCTAAAAAAAATTCTAAGGCAAGGCTAAGTCTTGAACAATGTAAAAAAAAATTGGTTGAAGCTTTGTTGACCGATTTGGACTTGAATTTTGGCAAAACAAAAAAAAATTGTGCGATTTAGGTGGAACTTGATAGGAAAACATGCGATTTAGAATGAAATATGGATAAAACTGTGTCTAAAACACAAAAACACATAATTTAAAAAAAAATGGATCAAACATTGAATTTTTTGATGAAATCTTCAAGAACACCAAAATTTTAAAAATCCACAAATTTGATCGCAACTCGAAAAAATAAAGATCAAGACACAAATCTTTGGGAATAACAAAGATGCACAATATGATTACGCACATTTTGATCTTGTTTTTAACCCAAAAACACAAAAAATTGAAAAGAACTCAGATCAAAAAGTTTAAAAGATGAAGAACACAAAAGAAAAAAAAATATGAAATCCAGAAAATTTTCTTCAACAAATCTTCAAATCAATGATTACTTCTCATGATTTATTTGCATAACCTGCTCTGATACCAAATGTGAGTCCATGAAATGATCAATCTTCATAAATACCTATGAATCAATGACAAATTAAGATAATCTTCAAGAACACTTGAGAGGAGAGTTGAGAGGATTTGTCAAATAGTCAACACTTCTATTATGAACGTAATTTTACAATTGAGCTCTCTCATGCCAATTACACTAAAGACAAAACTATATATAGGGTCAAACTAAAGCCCTTCTAGTCAAAGTCAAACTTACTTACAAAGTCAAACACGATAACTATACAATTATAGACAATTATTAACTTTCAAGACGAATACAATTTAACACTGAAATTCAGACCCAACAGGTTCTTGTTTAAAGATTTGATGAATCGATTTTCTAAAGAGGTTCAAGTTGGTTCATGATTGATTTTCAGTTTTTAGGGTGCAAATTATTATAATTTTTTACATATAGCATGTTAGGCTCAATATGTGTTCATATTTTGGTCCAAATGCACATATATGCAAACCTGGGTTCGTATTCGAGACAAGGGTTCATACATGGAATTTTGTATTGGTAATTGTGACAATTTCTCATATCGTTTGGGGGTTGTTCACATGGGTGTACATGTGTTCATCTTCGTTGATATGTATTCATACGGTCACATATTTTCATCATCTATATTATGTACATATGTCTCACACTATGTTCATATATGTTACCACCTGTACGTGTGTGTCAATTTCTGTTATTAAGTTACACAAAGGTTCATATAGCTATAATTTTGTTCAAAAAATAAAGAAGTGATCATATAACATAAGATGTGTTTGTATGGTTGTCCGAAGGTTTACATTGCTGAATTTCTGTTCATATCGTGTTCACAAGTGTTCATCACATATAAGTTGTATTGGTGATTTTATATTGTGTTAAGTAAGAGACATATAAGATGAATTGTAATTGATGTATAGGTTTTAATTTGTAACAATAGATGAATAATGCATTCATTATGTGTACATATTTTTGCTATTACAATCATAATCGTTTTGATTACGTATATGCAGCAGGTTAGGCTCAATATGTGTTCATATTTTGGTCCAAATGCACATATATGCAAACCCGAGTTCGTATTCGAGACAAGGGTTCATACATGTAAATTTGTATTTGAAATTGTAACAATTGTTCATATTGTTTTGGGGGTTGTTCATATGGGCGTAGATGTGTTCATCTTCGTGAATATGTGTTCATACGGTCACATATTTTCATCATCTCTATTATACCATTATATTTGGACTGAATACTTTTGTAGTTGTTCACACATTGTTCATTCCTTGTTCACAAAGATGTTCGTATTTACTCAATAATACACACGTAGACCAAGACTTGAATAAAAAACACATACAACATAAAGAATGGATCATATAACAGAAAATGTTTTTGTATGGTTGTCCAAAGGTTCACATTGCTGAATTTCTGTTCATATCGTGTTCATCACATATAAGTTGTATTGTGATTTAATATTGTGTTAAGTAAAAGACATATAACATGAATTGTAATTGATGTATAGGTTTAATTTGTAGCACTAGCTAAATGATGCATTCATTTATTTGTACATTTTTTTGCTATTACAATCATAATCATTTTGATTACGTATATGCTGCAGGTTAGGCTCAATATGTGTTCATATTTTGCTCCAAATGCACATATATGCAAACCCGGGTTCATATTCAAGACAAGGGTTCATACATGTAAATATGTATTTGAAATTATAACAACTGTTCATATCGTTTGGGGGTTGTTCATATGGTGTAGATGTGTTCATCTTCGTCAATATGTGTTCATACAGTCACATATTTTCATCATCTTATTTTGTTCATATGGTTCTGTTATAATTAAATGTGATATTCACAACATCTAACTATATCACGATACAAAACCCTGTGGTTATCGATGCAGATTTAAAAGTGATCAAATCGATGGTACTACAAACTAGTAAGCAAGCTGCGAGAAGAGGGAAGGTGTCGAAAAGCTTAGGCAATCAAGGACCCACAGGTTCATTACTGCAAGGTGATACATATTATTAGACGAACTTTTTAAAATATTGATGTTGGTTGATGGAATATAGGTCTTTGCGTCATTCACCTCACGACCTATATTTCATATTGTCCCTTAATCATCATCAACATCGACATGTCCATATATGTTCATTGGCAACAAATTGCATATCTGTGTTCAAATATGTTCATATTGTGTTCATGTGAAATCTGATTACGCCCTTCAACAGTTTTGGTCACTGAATATCTACATCAAACACAATCTGTCCATATTGCAAATATAATGATCCCTGATTTCGAACGTTTGAAAATTTTACCTCTAAGAAACTCACGTAATGACAATATAATGGTCCATGATGTTTGTTAGTTAACTTTTACGTATTTCGTTCATGAATGCAGATTTCCAGCAGGACATTGATTTCAACGATAATGTTCACATTGAAGTCAAGGCACGGACAAAATTCAGCCGTGAGGATCAAAATTTGAAGATTGACCATGGAAAGCAAGCAGCAGTTGAATAGAAGAATGTAAAAGGCTACTCAATAGGAACTAGAACCAGAACATCCCCCAAGACGTTGTGGGAGACGGTAAAATCATTGAAGTGATTATTACTACATCTATACCGGGAAATTAGGTTGTGGTGTTAACCAAAGGGCAACCATCAAGGAGATGGGATTTGAGTCATTGCTACATAAGACTTTAGACAGGATTCCATCGAAATTAGGTCATTATGTCGTCGATATGTTAGATACATCTACTATGACAATATAATTGAGGGATGAAGTAATACCAGTTACGGTCAAGTCGATACACGAGGTACTCGGATTGCCAACCGGAGGATTAGATTTGAATTCGATTGAACCATTCTCATGAAATGATGCAATCAATTCAGCATAGCGAAAACAGTTCAATAAGGATAGGATGAGACCAAAGGACGCGATGAACGTGGTTCACAGTTCAGATGACGCTGGTGTGATGTTCAAGTTGAGTTTCCTTGACATCATGGTTAACACTCTTACCGAATGCAGCAGGGTGGGTGTTTGAAATTTAGGTTTCTTGACCCGTGTTCATAGCTTAGACATGATTCCAAAGATTGGCTGGTGCAAATATATATATGATTGCATAGCGACGAGCAAGATGTGTTGGAGAAGAGACAGTCTTTTGTCATTTTACGCAGGCCCCTTAACATGTTTAATGGTAAGAACACAACAACTAAATCAAGAATTGTCTCGTCTTATTAAATAACTACTATGTTTACTTTTTACAGTTGCTATATGTTCAATCAACAAGATGTGACAGCATTCCAATCCAACAACAAACACATCCCTTAAGGGCTTGGACCCTGGATCTACTAAGGAGAAGACAAGATTTTGAACTTAGTAGAGGGGGGTTTGGATACACTCAATTGATACGTAGTAAACCTGTTGAGCAAGGAGCGTGTGACCAACCAATTCTAGAGCATAATTCAATAGAGGACATACCTAAGTCTAGTAAAGCTAAACAAGCAGAAAGTCAGAACTTGAGTAAAGAGATAACTTCTAAACTTGGCTTCCTTATTAAGCTAGAAAAGTTATGTTTCATGTTATTAAAATAATTCATCCAAGCTGATTACAGGTTCACGCATGCCTATAATTGTATATCGCTTTATCTGTAATGATTTGAAATGAATATACCTGCTTGTGTTTGTTAAGAATTTGAAATGAAGTCTAAAACGGAACAACTGCTATAAATATATATGAACACAAATGATATCCAGAATGCACTCCTATGAAGAACATAACCTTGCGATAGGTAGAGTCATAGTATATGTCAAATATATATGTATATGAACATGTGGATGCACCTGTTGAACATCACATAAAATGCGTAAGAACGCAACCTAACGACAGTAGAATAATAGTATTTGTCCAAATACAAAAGTATATAAACATATATATTCACCCGTTGATAAATACATATATGCGTGTTAGTTGATGTGTACAGGCATATATGCCAATCAAACACTCTGTTAATTCAATTGATGTGTTTAATATCATAATATGTATGCATACATCAACACCCTGTTTGATTAAGCTATATCCCTACATAATAAAGGATTTTGTCGAGATTAAGTGCTTTTTTTATCTGAATTTAGCAACGAATGTAAAATGATTGTTTGGTAAGAATTATAAATGACAAAAATTACCATTCTTACCCAGTATCAGAAAAATCTGGTTAAAATTACAAGGTTGAACTCATTCATTTCCATACCCTGAACTACTCAAGTACTCACCATTCTCTTCAAAATACTCGATCAACCACTTCAGAAACTTGTCGCTGCTCACGGTCTCTGTGTCGTATATGATACAACACTGTCTCCTTGCACGAGTCATGACAACATTCATACATCTACGATCACTCAGAAACCCAACCTAGAGTATATATAGTACATATAAACTTAATATCAATTTTTTCATTCGACCATATATATGAGTTTAGCCGGAACAAATACCTCTTTCTTTGAGTTTGATCTGACCATTGAAATGATAATGGCTTCTTTTTCCCTTCCCTGGAAGCCATCCACAGTTGAGATTGCCACTTCTTTTAACTTGTCTTCCTTAGTTCTCAGTGTTCTGAGTAATACAACCAACAAAACACAAGACAACCAACGATCCAGAAATGATTTTTATTTGAAGATGTGGGTTTTTTTTATGACAACACTTGATCCGGCTAAAAAGGTCTAGGCCACTAATCATAGCACAAAACGAGTTATACTTTACCTGTGCTGAATAAGGGGTAATGATTCCGATATCAGAAGCATGAACTCCACTTTGAATGAGTCTTTTGGCATGAGCTATAGCAATCTCAGCTTCACCTTCATTTAATGTGCTTTCTTCTTCATCCTTTTTTTCTTCCATGTCACATCTACAATAGAATAGTAGTAATAGCCAAATTACACAATAAACAAACCATCAAAATAATTTTACTCAACGCTAATTATATGACAAGATACAAGTGATACTACCAATATGCATACCCTGCAATGTCTATGAGAACAAGAGTAGGTTCTGCTGAAGAAGATTTTTGTACATTCTCGAGTTCATGTAGCGTATGTCCAGCAACACTTGTATGAGCTTTGATCTATAATAATTATAGTAACATATATAATCAACAACAATTAGAAGAATTCATCGTGTTACAGTGATACTCCCTCCCTCCCCAAATAAATGTCCACAATGAAATTTTAGAAATGTATAATTATTACACTTTTTAATCAACTAAATGACAATTTTACCTTTAATAATAATTGAAGTAATGAATATTTCCATCTCATAATTAAGGTAGAGTTGGAAAGTAAGCAACTTATTTTAGGATAAACTGAAATAGAAATATGGACGCTTATTTTTGAACAGATGGAGTACCTTACTGTTGTAGAGCTCCTTAGATGACCAGTTCATTATAAGTTCACGCATGCGGTACTGGACAGTGAGCATAGACATGACTTCATCTCCATACAAGTCCGCAAGGCGCTCGAAGAGAGTCTTTCCGAACCCTTTTTTTCCAGCTTCAAGACTCTAGACCGTCGGAGGAAGTTGGAGATGGTCCCCAGAAAGTATACACCGAGAACCCTGTAAAACCAAATTAGATCTACTCATGCTCCATGCCATAAAAGTCTTCTTTGGAGTCATATACATCTAAATACCCAATCAACACTGAAATAATTGGTGCCCTTTCCATTTTTAGATAACGTACTCGTTTTTGTACCTACTGAAAGTGCTCAAATGGTCTAGAAGGTTGAAACAGTTAATGTACTTATGGCCAAATTTGTTTATGTAATCATGATAGATAAGGGATGGAATCAAGATTTTATATAGTTTCTTAGGTTGTGAAGTAATGGGGATAGGGGGATTATAAAAGAAAGGCAGTAGTATTCTTTAATGCTCTATAAAATCTTTTTGCTTTGTTACCTTTAGTAGAGCAATCTAGCAAGCTCCCTCAAGTGCTTGAGCAACTTCATCAATTATCACAACATCAAATGAAGTGCCATCTAATTTTCGTGACAATGAACTTGTCAGTGTGGTTAGAACAACATCTGTATTTTTTATTACATCTGTAACATCCAACTGCTGCCTCTTGCACTCTTCTTTGGAAATCATCTTGAGCTCCTTCCGAATATCCCTCTTTGTGTTTCTGTCTTTAGCTTTCAACAACTTACCATACAAATCCTGCAAGATCCATCAAGATGAGATGGAAGAACAAATTTCATGGAAATTAAAAAACACAAGAATAACATTCAAATAATTCATCCGAGCTGATTAAAGATTCACACATGCCTATAATTGTGTATCGCTTTATCTGTAATGATTTGAAATGAATATACCTGCTTATGTTTGTTAAGAATTTGAAATGAAGTCCAAAACGGAACAACTGCTAAAAACAAATACGAACACAAACGATATCCAGAATGCACTCCTATGAAGAACATAACCTTGCGACAGGCAGAGTCATAGTATCTGTCAAATAAATATGTATATGAACATGTAGATGCTCCTGTTAAACATCACATAGAATGTGTAAGAAGAACACAACCTAACGACATCAGAATAATAGTATATGTCCAAATACAAAAGTATATAAACATGTACATTCACCCGTTGATAAATAATATATGCGTGTTAGTTGATGTGTAATTTGGTACTTAGTCCCTTGATAGATCTTATTGTTAAAGTTGTTGCCGTTGGGTTGTGTACTATGAAACCTGATAATGAAGTCAAATATGAAACAACTGTTATATGTAGATATGAACATAAAACAACTGTGCATGCCATAGTAACGATGTCCACTTATCCGAACTGTTCACGTAGCTTGTAAAACAGATACACGAGCTTCATCTCATGCATGATGTGGATACTGTTGTGGCTACTGGTGTTCATATGTACAGTGGTTGCATTTAACTGTCTACAATCTATTTTCATAGTGGTTGTTCTTTTGAATCAGCTGCTTGTAATAAGTAGTGCCATGCTTTGATAAAATTTTTAATTCTTGGGCTTCATAAAGTGGTAATGTTCCAAATTTTATGCCATCCTATGTTCAATTTGATCCTACCATTGCGTGCTGAACATCCAGATATGTGAATATGTGAACATCAAACACACAAACTTGAATGCATGATAGTTGATGCTTTCACATACTTAATTATTATGTGTTTCTTGTGCTTTAAGGTTCATGAATTTTTTTCAGGAATGCATAATAATCATGGGAAAGCGAGTTGCAGATCTGTGTTCTTCAAGGTCGGAGACAGCCATGATGCTGCAATCTTACGTGGAACTTTTTCCCGGTGACACAGCTTTTGACAAATTCAAACATCAATTATCAAGCATATTTAAAAGGAGCATGTGGGAGTCCCGACAAGATCTAGGTCAACATAGTGACACAACATTGAATAATGAACAAGAGCCACTCAGTTCAAAGATTGCTACAGGATCAGGGGAACATGTTAAAGAATTGTCACTTGTTGAGGTAACACCTCAGAAGATGACCA